GGTCTAAAGAGTGCCTGAGAAGCTGCATTTCTGATAAACTCCGGTAATTGCAATGTTGTTGGTCCAATCTCCACAATAGATGCGGGAGGCCCAAGTGGAGGGTTCCCTCTCACAACCCATTCAAAACACCAAAAGGAAGGAGGGCAAACTCACAGCTGATAGCTTGATGGCAAGACATGTTGGGAATCTGCATGGGATGCCCTGTCTGGGTCTTCTTCATTGTTTCCTGAAAAGCAAGTGTCTCAAATGTAGAATCCTGCACAAGATGACTTAGCACCCTGTTCACTTCCAGTCTGCCTTTTTGAGGCTCATGCTCTGGGAAAAAGACAAACAAACAAACAAACAAAAACCAGAAAACAAAAAACAAAACCTTGGAATGTGAAGAAAGAGCAAAGGCAAGGAAGGACAAATTTGTGGTCATCCACACGATTAACTCAGTTGATGAACCCTGCGTTCCCGTGGAGCTGCAGATCGAGGCTGAGAGCCAGGATTCAGCCCAAGTCTGTCTTTTATGACTTTGTCTTATTATCTTTGTAACAAGGCTCTTTTATTAGCTCACGATTTCCTGCCAACTTGATGAAATCTCCATTATGTTTTATAGTACGAAATAAGAGGATCAGGTGGTTTTTAAAAGTCTTTTGTTTAGAGACTCTGCCTGCCCTGCTTCTCCCCTGTGCCTCTGTGGGGTGGCAACGAACTTCTTGCCACGTTCCAAGCCACTGTTTATTTTCTCTTTAGCTGAAAGAGATATTTATTTTGCTGTTTTGTTTCAAAATTCCAGGGCTGCTGTTTTCCATCTTAGAGCTTCATTTTGAGTCACACGTGTAATTACTGCTGTCATTTATTCTGGGATTTTGGAGAGCTATCCCATTTGATCTGTGAACACAAAAGCAGCTGTTGTAGTGGCACATGCCTGTTAATCCCAGCACTTAGAAGGAAGGGCCAGGAGGATTAAAAGTTCGACATCATCCTCAGCTGTAGAGAAAGTTTGAGGCCAGCTTGGGATACACAAGACCCTTTATAAATCAAACCAACCAACCAAACAAAAAACTAGCATCCCTCCTTTCTAGAGGTGAAGCAGGCATTTGGAGCATGATGCTTCCATTCAGACTTATCTAACAGTGAACCAGAGAAGCAGAGGAAGAGATAGCAACAAACTAGGCATGCCCACATGGGCATTTAAAGATAAGGCTTCTTTCTCTCCCCAGAGGTAAATGTTTTTGAGGCTTGGGGCTGGCTCAGTGGGTAAAGCATTTGTTGGGCTAGCCATGGGGACCTGAGTTCAGGTGCCTCAAGTTCACATAAAAGTTAGAAGTGGTGGCCCACACATGTGGCCCCAGTGCTGGAGGAAGAGGTGGGAGGAAACAGGACCATCCGGTACTCCTGGCCAGGCACTTTAGCTGAAATAGCAAGCACCAGCTTCAGTGAGAGACCCTGTCTCAGTAAGGTAGAAAGCGACAGAAGATACCAGAAGTAGACCTCTACTCCTTCATTCCCTACATGTGTGCATGCCAACACACACATGCACACACATGTGCAAACATACATGCACATGTATGTTTATACATGTTATGTCCCACATGTATATACACATGGATACACACAAATGCACGTACATATAGACACAAAACTCTTTCCTTCAGAAAGCTAAAGCTTGTTTTGTTGTCATTTCCTAATTCTTTTCTGTTTGTGCGTGCGCCTGTGCACACATGTGTGATTATACAAGCACATGTATGCTCATTCATGTGGAATCTGGGTGCCACTTTTCAGGCATTATTTACCGTATTTTGAGTCAGGGTCTCCCTCTAGCCTGAAGCTTATTCACTGGGTGTGGCTGACTGGCCATCGAGAGCCAGGGATCTGTTTTCTCTACTTCCTCCCTGCTGAGATCATAAGCACGCCACTGCTCGCAGCTTTTGAAAATGTGGGTTTTGGAATTTGGTTCTGGCTTTCCTGCTTGTAAGGCAAGCACTTTTCAGGGCGAGTCATCTCTCCAGTTCAGCTCACCCATGTTCACATCGCTGCCTCCCATTGGCTTTGGTCAGCTGGTCAAGGTCATAGAGGGTAGCAGCCTGTTTGTAGCTCTCAGGACTGCCTGGGTGACCTGCCTCTTTGCTCTCCCACCCAGCCTCTGCTCCAACCCATGCATGGCTTTCTCCAATGTGTTCAAGCTACCCTGTCCTTTAAAAGAACAGAGATCTTCTGTTCTTTAGTGAGAGAACTCCTCTGGACATCAGGCCTCCAGCAGGCTGCCCATCTGCCTGGGCTGTTTTCTCCCACCTCCCTGAGCTCACTGAAGCCATTCTTTATTTCCTTATCACATTCCAGATTCATTTAGGCTCCTCTGCCAGATAGTCTCAGGGAACCTGTACCTCTCATGGTTATAACCAGCTACCTGTGCAGTAAAGTCTGTCTCTCCATTAGCCAGCCAGCTTCATGAGAGCCAAGACAGCCTCTAAGGCATCTATCACTGGATCTAGCACACAACAGCTACCAGCAAAACTTTTTCTGGAAATCTCTTAAAAAGCGTATAGTGGTGGCATGGAGGCACACAGCGGCTCACAGACTTGGGAGGTGGAGGTGGAGAGGATCAAATCATCCTCTTAAACAAGGAATAGCTTCCAGCAGGAGAAACGCATGACAGAGACTGGGCCTCTTACAGACTCTTGACCGCTTTGGATGGAGACTATCTGAACTTCAGAGCCCACCAAAGCTATCATGTAAAATAACACACAGGGTGAAACCATTTGTATACATGTTGAAGACAGTTCAATGAAAATAATGTGGATTATTCCACGACTAGGGGACACTGCTTTTTGGATGTGTTGCTGAAGCCGTATTTGCTATTTAACGAGAGCTGATGTTGGTGGCTGCAATGGGACTGGCCTGCAGTGAGTTTGCAGTAATATTTATGGAAGGATCGATTTTTTTTTTTTTTAAAGAGTCACTGTCTTTCTGTCTAGCAAGTAGAGGACTACAACTAAACTATCCTGCTTGAAGCTGCCCCCAAAAATTGGCTTTAGCGTATCTGGGTCCAACATGATTCTATTATCTACCGCTGTGCAGCCATGTTGAGTCACTTCGCTTCCCGGGGTGCCATTCCCGCCTTGCCAATGCAGACAGTTACCGACACCTGCTCAGTTTATATTAATGTCCAGCTATGAAGACTGATGGTACATTCCAAGACAGAAGAGGGAGGAATGTGGAGATGGCTCAGGGAGTAGTACTCCCCCGAGCAATCGTGGGGACCCGAGTTCATGTGCCTAGCCCCCATGTAAAAGTCAGGCACTCTGCTGTGCAACTGTGATTCCAGCCCTGGGGATGTGCAGACAAGCAAATCCTAGAGACTTTCTGCTCGGTAGTCCAGCCCAAAACAGTGAGCTTCAGGTTCAGTGAGAACCCTTGTCTCAAAAAAAAAGGGGACAAAATGGTAGAGGAAGACACCTGATATTGACCTCTGACCTCCATATGTGCACTCACATGTACATTCAGAGAGAGAGAGAGAGAGAGAGAGAGAGAGAGAGAGAGAAAAGAAGGAAGGGAGGGAGGGAGGGGGAGCAAGGGAAGTCTCTGCCAAGAGCTGTGGGCAGCATCACAGGAACCGACAAGGAGGGAACAGCTCTCCGAAGCAGCAGTAGCAGGAGGCCTGGTGCATCCTGAAGCCAAAGGGAGCCCTTAACAGGGAGAACTGTGGTTGTGAAGCTAGAGCCATGTATGTGTACAGAGATGCATTGCTGCTTCCAAATCATGGCTTTGTAGAGGAGGAGCTGGGGAGCTCAGCAATTTGACTCTGTAGTATATTAGAGACTATGCATACAGTGCTTCTCTATCCCATGCTCAGTGATACTAGAAGCTTGAAACCCACCACAGCAGAAGCCCTCAGACCACGGAAATTAGCCAACCCCAGTGAGGCTGCTACTCTCCCCGAGAACCGGGTGTCATCTACCACAGAGGCACCTGATGCCTCCTGCCTTTCCAGTCCCCATCAGGGCCTCCCTCCTGGATGAATTCATTAACTCTGAGACAAACACTAGAATAGGTTATGCAGGTTTTACACATCAGACCCCAGGGTGCACAGCAGGGTGAGATGGAAAATGAATCGGCAGTGTGCTAGGCACACATGGGTGGGAAATAATCAGCACAGCTCTTAGGGATGATGTGGAAGTCATTTAAGTAACATGGAAGCATTTAGGAAACATTGAAGTATGTTCATTGTGTCCGTTCTTAATTTTCCTGTGTGCTTTTGAGTTACTAAGTATTTCCTGGAGTCCCATGACCACAGTGCTCAGGAAGAGATGGCAAGCATCTTTCTTTTTCTGCCACGCCTGTACTGTAAAGAATGACAGCACCTCTCTCCCATGCCTCAGGACACCCTTCCATTCAAGCAGGAACACGGTTATGCACAAATGCTTTCTCATTGTGACATCTATGCTGTGCCAAGAAGGTGGGTGAGCCTGGGGGTGTGTAGAGCATTGTTAGGTCTGAGCTGGGACACAGAGAAAACTGTGGAAGGAGATGGGGGCTGCTTTGGTCCAAGTGCAGCAGCAGTGCTGATGTGAACAAAGTCAACTCCAGTGTAGGACTCAGGTTAGTTTTCTGAAAACGAAGAGACTGAAACAGGTGGTTACCACGAGGACATTAATGCAAAGTTGGATCCAAGAGGGTGAAAAATGTTCGTTGTGTTTCCAGCGCCATGTTGTCTTCACCTCTTGGGTTGATTTTAGGACTTCTTCAGCTGGGATCTGGTGGTTAGAGCTAGGCGCATGATTGGGGAACCTGATGCCAGGAACAAGTGGCAAGAACCCTCCCTCGGAACTTAGAAGGCACTGCCCATTGTGAACTTAGAAGGCTCTGCTCTCATTTTATGACCGTAGTAGGCAGTCTCCACCTTCCTGCCTGGGAAGCAACTGAGAATATCTGGGACTAGGGTTGGGGAGCTTTTCAGATGTGTCAAGCTTATGAGCCAACCTCACCTCAGCACATTCAGCTCCTGGAAGAGAATGGCCAAAGGGAGGCGTTTCAACCCACCTTTAGACAAGGATGGAAGATGGGTAAGGAGGATGGCATTCCTGGAAGGTTTCTCATGAAACCTGTCCAATTTCTGGCATCTGACTATGACATGGACAGAGCCTAGGACTGTGTCATTTACCCATTTTGATCATACCTTAGTCTCCTGGGGTCAAGCTATCCTCCTGGCAAGACCCCTGTCTGTTGGATTCCCTTCTGCTACCTATAGTAGCCTGACCTGTGAGGAGTCCCTTTCCTTGGCTTTGGTTTCTTTTCCTGTCAGTGGGAAGCTCAGCAATCCTCTCAGGACTGAATGAACGCACTTGAATCTGAGGGAGACAGTTCAAGCTTTGAGAGGCTGAGGCAGGAAGATGGAGAGCTCTAAGGCACCCTAGGCTACTTAACAAGACACACTCTCAGAAAAATAAAGCTACAAAAAGAGGAAGGACAGAGAGAAAGGAGGGAGGCATGGGTTACAGAAGGGATGAAAATGTGGGAATGAAGAAAGAAGAGAGGGAAGGAGAGAAGGAAGGAGGAAAAGCAAAAAGGTGGAAGGAAGAAAGGGGGAAGGGGAGAGGAAGAAGGGGGGAAAGCAGGTATATGCTTGGCACAGGATGGGCCCTTGAGCATGTTCACTGGGGGGCAGAGCTGCCTGCTCTGCATTTGCATTTCCTATTTCTGCACACCTATCTTCTCTATCCCTTACCATATTGTGAGCTGTCTCCTTTTCCTAGAACAGAAGCTCCACGGGGCCTTTGTCATTTTTCAATTGTACTCCATAACTACCTAGACTAGGATCCAGTGTAGAAGGCATACCCAGGATTTGTTGATATATTCTTAAACTCCCAGCAAGTCCTATCTAATTCCCGTCACCAGACTATGAAATGGACAGAGCCTAGAAGTGTGTCGTTTACCTGTTTTGATCATACCTCAGACTCCTGGGCTCAAGCTATCCTTCAGGCAAGACCTCCGTCTGTTGATTTTACAGGCAGCCCAGTTGGGAGTGTTGTTCTAGTGTCTTCTGGAAACATTTGCAGCTTGGCCCCCAAAATGTCTCGTTTCCTCTTTAATATGCATATCGCATGTATAGTTAGTTTTCCATTTCCAATTTCTACACCTTCTTCACAAAGGGGACTCCCTATGTCCTCTTTTACTCTCAAAACAAGAGGCAGAATCTGAGAAAAGATTTGTGTTCAAAGCTTTTAGGCAATAATATGGGGGTGGGGGTAGCTATGTGTGGCTTTTTTGCACATGTATGTGAGTAGGGTATGAGTATGTTCATGTGTGTGGACAGGTGCTGTGGACATACATTTGTGGGGGGGTTCAAATGATGATGTCAAGTGTCTACCTCAATAACTCTTCACCTTTCACATTGTAGAATCTCTCTCTTGAATCTGTAGCTGGCTGTTGGGTTAGTTAAACAGTCATCTTGTTCTGGGGATTCTGTCTCTGCCTCTTGAGTGCTGGGATGACAGGTGGGCTGCCTCTCCAGCCTGGCTTTTATGGGTGTTGGGACTCTGGTCCTCAAACTTGCATGGCAAGAGCCAGGAGCTTTACTTAACAATACATCTATCTCCCCAACTGAAATTTTTGTTTGTTTAAAAGAAAAAGAAAAATGGAGGAGGTGTGGGCAAATTTGGTTCTTAGGCATATATCCAAAATATGTTCAAATATACAACAAGGACATTTGCTTAACCATGTTTGTAGCAGCTTTATTTGTAATAGCCAGAATCTGGAAAAAACCCAGATGTCCCTCAACTGAGGAATGGATACAGAAATTGTGGTACATTTACACAAAGGAATACTACTCGGCAATTAAAAACAAGGAAATCATGAAATTTGCAGGCAAATGGTGGGAACTAGAAAAGATCAACCTGAGTGAGGTATCCCAGAAGCAGAAGACACACATGGTATATACTCGTTTATAAGTAGATATTAGACATATAATATAGGATAAACATACTAAAATCTGTACACCTAAAGAAGCTAAGCAAGAAGGAGGACCCTGGGTAAGATGATCAGTCCTCCATCAGAAAGGCAAATGGATGGATATCAGAAGAGGGAGAAAACAGGGAACAGAACAGAAGCCTACCCCAGAGGGCCTCTGAAAGACTCTATGCAGCAGGGTATCAAAACAGATACTGGGACTCATAGCCAAACTTTGGGCAGAGTGCAGGGAATCTTAAGAAAGAAGGGGGAGAAAAAAAGACCTGGAGGGGACAGGCACTCCACAAGGAGAGCAACAGAACCAAAAAATCTGGCCACAGGGGTCTTTTCTGAGACTGATTTTCCAACCAAGGACATACATGGAGATAACCTAGAACCCCTGCACAGACATAGTCCATGGCAGCTCATTCTCCAAGTGGGTTTCCTAGTAAGGGGAACAGGGACTGTCTCTGACATGAACTCAGTGGCTGGCTCTTTGATCACCTTCCCCTGAGGTGGGAGTAGCCTTATCAGGCCACAAAGGAAGACAATGCAGCCAGTCTTGATGAGACCTGATAGGCTAGGGTTAGATGGAAAGGGAGGAGACCACCCCTATCAGTGGTCTGAGGGACAGGCATGGGAGGAGAAAAGGGAGGGAGACTGGGATCGGGAGGGGGTGAGGGAGGAGGCTACAGCTGGGATACAAAGTGAATAAACTGTAATTAATAAAAAATAAATTAATTAAAAAATAATTTACAGCACTGCACTCTTTGGCATCACCTTAGACTAAGGCAAACAAATTTGTCTAACCTTGACTTTTGAAACTATAAAATGAAATATGCCAAAATTAGAGGCCTGTTGTAAGACTTGCAAGATAATTCATTCAGAAGGGCAAAGGTAAGCAGAATAGTCAATTGACATTTCCTAACTATAGTATGTGAGTATTCACACATACACACACAGTAGACTTTATTTTATTCCAATAAGATCAAAAGTAATATATGGAACACACATAATAAAACAGAAAAGTCTAAGTAAAAATAAAGTTTACGACCAGTATAAATATATGTTAGAATAAAAGGCTGAGACTGAAAAACAAATTTGAATATGGGCTCTGTGGGAGCCAAAGCCAAATGGGAAATAGAACCAGCTACATTTTAATTTTATTTTAGTTTGTTTTACATGTTTATTTTTTGGAAAAGGTTTCACTGTCTAGTCCTGGCTAGCCTGAACTCACTACGTAGACCAGGCTGCCTCAAACTCACAGAGATCTGCTTGCCTCTGTCTGTCTCTGTTGTTGTAATGGCTCATGGTGAGAAAAATATGTTTCTCAGATGAAATAGCTTCCCGTCATCTAAATATCAGTTAGGATAGAAGTTTGACTGACTAAAAAGCTGACTCCCAGGCTGGAGATGTAGCTTATCCATATATTATCTGCCTAGCATGTACAACGCCCTGGGTTTGGGTTTTGGTCACCAGCATGGTGGGGCAGGGCTGATAGTGTCTTAACCAGACACAGATCTGTGTGTGAGTGTGTGTGTGTGTGTGTGTGTGTGTGTGTGTGTGTGTGTGTGTTTTCTCAAACAGCAACAGAGTGCAGAAGCAGGTGGGTTAGCAGTGGGACTCTGCTCCAGGGAATTCTCCCTGGGTTCCTTTCAGCCTTCCATTCAGCCATCTTCATTGTGGGGCTAGTCCTTTCCAGGTTGTAGAGAGTCTACATTCCAGGTAGAAAAACAAGAAGCTCAAAGGACAACAAGACAGAAGGCATCTCTCTTCTCAGGCTGCCTGCTTTTTATCAGGAAAGCAATCATTTTCCCAGGAGCCTTACAGGTTCATGGGTTCACAGAGTCAATATAAGCTACAAGGGAGTAAGGAAAGTTTGTTGTTGTAGTTGTTAAATCAACTACAGTGAACCCAAGTTCTCTTATGAGAGATAAGGTGAGAATCCACACATCAAAAGTAGGTGCTCTGTGTCATCCTCCAGCCTCCAGCCCAGCAGGGCAGCCTGCTGGGGTCAGATGGAGAGGGGCTGTCCATCTGCATCCTTAGCTTAACTTGCGCCTCTGGCAAGAGTCCTCTCTGCTGCCAGCACCTAAGAGCTTAAAAAGAATAGTGCTGATCATGAAGTTTCTGGAAGGAACTTTAGACGAGTTGGGAAAATTAAAGAAACAGTTGGCTGTGAGTCAGCTGCAGCCCATCTGCAAGGACAGTAATTGTCCCATTAGAGGTGACAGTCATTTTGCAGTTGACCTTGCCGGTTGGAATATGGCTGTTGCTGGGCAGGAAAGGCTTTCTTTTCCCCCTACTTACTTTCATTTTCCTATTTAGTATTTCAGTCATCGGGTGATGGAAGGCAGTGAAAATTTCAGCACCACCTAGTTAAAAAGCTATATTTCACGGTTACACTATCTAACAGAAGGGTTTATTTTACAGCTATCATGCTATCGCCATTAAATATATATTTTAAAAGAGTGAAATTAAAATGGTAGTGTCATATTTTTGAACAGTGATTTAGTCCACAGACTTGCAGAATACAAATGAACTCTAGTCAGTTGTCAGCTGATGTGAACCATGGTTCCTGCTGTCAGAGCAGTCGCCCCACCAGCCTGGTCTCAAGGCTTTCCCAAGAGGGTCTCGACTTAGCTGGATGCAAAGAAAATGGAGACAGGCTCCACTTGGAGCCCACTTGCACCATTTGTATTTATCTTTAATAGGGATTTGATTGTTCAGGGATCAACAGGTAACGGTGCTTAGCATGCAAGCTGACAACTTGAGTTCGATCCGTGGAATCTGTCAAGGTAGGAGACAGACAGCCAGCTTCCCAGAGTTGTTCACTCCAGGCACAGGCACTCTACAGGCACACATCCTGCACGCAGTAGTAAGTCCACAATTAAAATTGTTTAGGGCCTCAGGAGACATCTCAGTCAGCACAGTGTTTGCCTTGCAAGCATGAGGGCCCAAGTTTGCTTCCCTGATCCCGCATAAACAAATGGTTTTGGTGGCACCTATCTATAGCCAAGCACTGGGGAGGTGGAGACAGGCAGATTCCCGAGGATGCTTCCAGCCATCCTTACTTGGCAGGCCCTGGGGTCCCAGTGAGAGATGGCAACTCCTGAGAAGTAACACCTGCAGCTGGCTTCTAGCCTCAACACGAACATGCATACACGTGAACAATAACTGTTTGAAAGTGCTTTAAAAATTTAATACAGAATTAATTAAAAATGTAGGTACGCTGGCTGAGAACTTTCTAGTGTTTGTTATTAAGCGAGGAAAGCAAGGTGCACAGCATGGGGAGTGTGACCTGTTTCCTGTAAAGCAGCGTCAGTGCCCTTCCCAGGGAACACATGAGGGCAGGGCCAATCTTATCTGGGGTGGTAGTGCAGGCAACAATGAGGGAGGGGAAGCAAGAAAAGTTTGTACCAAATAAAAAAGCATGCAGTGTTCAGAAGTGGCAGCAGTCACACCCCATGGCCACACGTGATTTCTAAAGTTACAAATACATTTTAGTTCGTATATTGTCTGTAGGATGCAACCTGTGCAAAGTTACCTATATGCAGAGTTGCTTATCCATACCCGGATGTTTACAGTAGTCTTCAAGAGCTAAGGGGAAGCGGTGGGGGTGAAGATTTTGGGAGAACGTCAGCCCCTCGACTTGTTTTGTGGTACTAAGGATTAAACCCTTGCCAGGCAAAGCTCTCTACCACTGAGGTGGAGCCGCAGCTTTCTTTTTCTCTTTTTCTGTTGACTCACACTCTCACTGAGTTGCCCAGGCAGGCCTTAAACTTACAATCTTCCTGTCTCAACTTCCTGTGCAGTGGGTAACAGGCTCGAGCCACCGGGCCTGGCTGTTTCCCTATGTTTTTCTCTACTGAGGTTTTTAAACCAGGCATATGTATTACAAGTCTCATCGGGAACAAGTTCCCTGGAGCCCCACAGGCAGTTGCTCACATTTCCTCAGGAGGGCCTGCACACGTAAAGGCCAATGTGTTTGCCTGGCCATATTGGTTCCATTCTTCTGAGCCCATGGGCAGCCATTGAGACGTACGTGGTGGTGCTTCTTTTATTATCCTGTGGTCTTGTAGGTTACCTATAGGTTATGTTCTCACATCAGTGGTGCTGGGTTATACATCTGCGAGTTTCAAACACCAGTGCAGGAAAGGAGTAGGGTCACAGAAGCCTGGGAGGTTGGAGGGAACTTAGGAAGTTGTATATTGATAGGACATGCTTCGTATACTAGACCGGGAGCCACTGGCAGGCACTCAGACATACGCTGGTACACAGTAACCACATACAGGCAGGTGACACGTGCACCTATGGACAAAGATAGACAGGCAGCTTGGAAAAGGCAAAGACTCAGGCCACTGGCATGAAGGCCCGTTTATACAGAACCCACAGTTAAACAGCAGATAACATAACTACTTACGTTTGGGGTTCTCAGGGCATCCAGTGCCACTCATTTTGTGCTGATTCTCAGTCCTCTGATTTGTGGTATCAGTCATATTTTAGCTGATTTATACCAGATAACCATATCAGTGTCACAATGTCTAAACATAAAACTGACCCTCACGGTCCTCTGTCCTCAACAACATCATTCTGTTTCTTTCTTCTGTCTGCTCTGCCAGGTCCCATGTCTTTTCTAGCTTCTTCATCGCTGGAGAGAATATCCACAATGTCCACAGTATTTATAATACAATCTCCAGCCTACCGCCTTAGCCTCGAACCAATGTCAAGCAAAAGCCACCCGAGCGTGCAGTTGTGTCTTAACTTGGGGGAATGGAGAGACAATTACAGAGCTGGCCAATGTCATTATCCTTCAAAAGGGAAGAGATGGGTGGGGAGAGGGCTTAGTTTGTAAAACATTTGCCTTGAAAGGGTAAGGACGCGAGTTTGATCCCAGGGCCCACATACAAAGCTGGGAATGGTGGCACGTGGTTGCAATCCTAATGATGGTGAGATGGAACCAGAAACAGGAAGATCCCTGGAAGCAGGTTGACCAGCTAGTCTAGCATGCTTGGCAACCTCTAGGCTTCAGAGTAGACCCAGTCCTTAGAACATGGCCTGGAAGCTAGGCTCCAAGTACCAGGGCTCCCCAGCCAGAGGAAGACCTCAGACCACACAGTTCTGTCATCTCCCACTACCTCCACTCATCCTCTTTGCCAGAATGTGGAAATATTTCCAGGCTCGCTAGGACCTTGAATAGAAAGAGGCCCCTGTGGCTTGGAATGTTTGCTTGGAAGGAATACTTCAAAGTAACATGGGTTTTTACCATTCCCCGAGCATGCCAGAAGTGCCCCAAATGTGTTGTAATCACTTTGCATAGGAAGCCTGTCCTTGACACACAGATCCAGCTGTATCTGGTTCTAATCAAGCCTCATGTTGTTTCCAGTTCCCTCACATTGGACTGATGCAGAAGACACCAGAATCCATCACAAGTGCCACCCTGAAGGAAATCCACTCTCTGTACTTGTCCCAGCAGGCAGAGAGGAAGCTGCCGCCCATATACAAAATCCGAGAGAAGGTGAGATGAGCATGGGCCTCAGATACGTGCCCCCAGGGCTCTCTGAGGAGGTGGCATTTTGGTCAGGCAGCTAACCCACTTGCCCATCTGCCATACCCAGGTTCCCTGTGATAGGCCCTAGTGCTCTGCAGCTACATCTGCCTCCTGGTCCAGACAATGAGCTGGGATTCTCCACAGGGACCTCTGGTCATTAACAGCTATGCTCTGCCTCCCTGGCCAGCTCATGAGCATGCCCCCAGACTCCGTGCTGTGAAGGGGGAAGCAGAATGGCTCTAACATCAATACTCACTGTGGACCTTGACTTCGGGCTCTAGGCTTCTGGGAACCCAGCTGCAGGGCTTGTAGAATCCGGTCAGGTTTCCAGGGTTTGGTTTTTGCCATTTTTATTAATCAGACAAAAAGCTGGCCCCTATGTTATCAAAAGTCCTTGGCAGCATTTGGTTCTGTGCATCTATTCACTTTTGCATCCTTGCCTCCTATGACGGACATTTTGAAAGAGAGTTTTTCTGATTTTTTGAGATTTGGTCGTAGGGACCAGTTGGGAAGTCCTACCTACTCCTGCACCTACATCCCTCATCCTGTGCTGTTCCATCCACGCTGGTGATAGACTTCATTAGCCTAGCTGAGAGGTACCTTTCCGTCCCCTATCCCTCTGCCCCAGTTCTGAGGGCATCCTGTGGTTCTGACATGTGCTTTTCATCTCTCTCCTCATTCTTCTCCAGCAAGCAAAAAACAACTTCCCTTTCTCCGTGCATGACAATCGCCACACTTTTGAGAACTGTGGATGCTATCTTGACTCTGTGAGTATTTCTTTGCAAACTACTTGCGCTTCAGGTACAGCTCAGAGGTAGAGCACCTGCCTGGTGTAGGAGGCCCAGGGTCCCATTGCTAGCACAGCAAGCAGGCCAGTGGTAGAGTTGGGAGCAGCGATGGGTCTCTTGATTTCTAAGGTTCACAGATAATGGAGCGGCATGTGTTCCTCAAGACTGGAGCAGTGTCCAAACAACCCTGGGGTCTTCCACAAGACTCATGAAAGGTCACAAAACAAAAGCCACCTCTTGAAGTTCTCAGAGTTGGGTGGAATTTGTCAAGCCTGCACCAGCCTTCTGCCTCCTTTCATACACAGGCCATAGTTAGTGTCCCTCCCCCACATCGTCTCTTGTGAGACTCCTGAAGTTATCTCTAGGGTTGTGGAGTTCCCTGCCACTGGAGAGCTTAAGTTCAGACAGCACATGCGAGCAGTTTAACACAGAATTGGCTGTAGAGATATGTAGCACAAGCTGCAAGTATGATTTCCAAATTTCTAGTAGCAACAGGAAAATCTAAAACACAGGTAATATTACTAAGACAAACTTTCTCCTTAAAAAGTTTCAACTTTACAATGCTATAAGAATGACATTCAGTAAGACTTCAAACTTATAATCTTGCCCTTTTCTTGGATTATTGCCAGACATAAAGAATCATGTATCTTCACTTCTTGCGTGGCTCTGTCACTGGGGTTGGATCACAGCTCCCACACAGACACCATTAGACAAAGTTAGTGCTCTCCACTGGAATGTGTTGCCAAGCTAGGGCAAGTGGACTAGGTACATCTTTTTTTCTTTAAAAATTTTACATGCATTTTTTATTGTCTAAGAATTTCATATACATGTATAATGTGTTTTGATCAAACCTGCCCCCCATTCCCTTCCCTTCCTTCCAATCCCTGCGGCTACTTTTTTCCCCCCTCAACTTCAAGTGTTCTGTTTTAAACCCACAAAGGCCACTCCAGAAGCACGTTTCAGCTTAGAATATTTTCAGCTTCCATTAGGTTTATTGGATCATAAGCCCAAGGGCATTTGAACATTTTATTTAACCCAATATTTCCTCCAAATTATCAATTCAACATGTAATAGAGCAATTAACATAAAAGTATGTTTTACCAATTCTTAAGCTTTTAAAACAATTTGATTTTTTTTTTATATTTCCTTTGTGTGTGTGTGTGTGTGTATGTGTGTGTGTGTGTGTGTGTATGCGTGTGCCTGTGCATATGTAGGGCATGGGTGGAAGTCAGAAGGCAACTCTTAGGAGTTGGTTCTCTTCTTCCATCATGCAGGCTCTGGGGATGGAATTTAGGCCTTCAGGCTCAATGACAAGAACCCTTACCTGCTGAAGACTCTCACTGGTCCCTTAAAATTATTAATCAGTTATTTCACATTTTCCTTTTCAAACTAAGTCTCTAGAAAAATAGAATTTGCATGTCTCTAATCTCAACTTAAACTGCTCCCAAGCATTTAAGTGCTTGGTAACTAGTGTCACACCTTAGGAAGAAGAATGTGTCAGGTGAGCTTCAAGAACACTTATCAACAAACTCGAAAACCGACATGACAAAGGCGCTGTTAGCAACATCCTTTGTTTATTAACACTTTACTGCCTAGCGGTGTTTCATATTATCTTGTTTAAACCTCAAAGCACTCCTTTGGGCTAATTACTTTTATCCTTGATTTAGAAACGAATAAACTGAGAACCACTGAGATGAAACATCATGCCCAGGGAAACCTTTCCCTCCACACAACCGCGTTCCAAGTACACCTGAGCAGCTTAACCCAAAAACCTGCTTCCCTTTGTCAGAGTATGGAGTACAGACTCCGAATACCCACCCTGCCCTCTCCAAGTGGAGTGCTCACTGCTTTCTTTATAACAAAATGTTCATTTTTATTTCACTCCGTGTGTATGAGTGTTTGGCCTGCACGGCTGTCTGTCTGTGCACCGCATCATCACATCACCACAGGCATGCCTGGTACCCACAGAGGTCAGAAGGAATCAGATACCTTGGAACTGGAGTTAGAGAAGGTTGTGAGGCACTATGTGGGTGCTGGGAACCAAACCTGGGTCTTCTGCACGAGCAACAAGTACTCTTAACTGCTGAGCCCTCTCTCTAACCCCACTTAACACGTTTTCTAAATTGCCACAATAACATATGTCCATCCCAAAAGCCAAACAAGGGATGATGAGATGACTCAGTCAGTGCTCTTTGCTGAGCCCAAAGATCTAAGTTTGATCTGCGAGAATGCCAGGTAAAAAAAGAGAACAAGCTCCCACAGGTTGTCCTCTGATTTACACACACATGCTCAGAGGCTCACATGCACAAGTAAATAAGCAAATACTTAAAAAAAAAAAAGTCGACACAGATTTTTATAAATTTACAAATAAAATTTGCATCCTTATTTCCTTCTTCACCACTCTACGCTGGTGATTAACTGCTGACCGGGGTCTAGTGGGCAGGTCTCCCGACTGTGTATCTTGTTAGTGAAGCAAGCAGGCTTCTGCACATGCATCTTAGCAGGTGATTAGAGCCTCCAGGAAGGTTCCAGAGGTTTCCCAGCTTCCTCTGCATTCTAAAATAACCTGCATAACATTAACATTTGGGTTTTTAGTTTATGATGGTTTTAGAAAACTCGCCTATGGGACACAGAACAGTGCTGCTAGCTCAGTGGGCTTGTTTGCCTGCTGCACAGGGACCCTGGCTAAGTAATTTTGTTCATGAAACTACTTAGGTTTGATACATTTTTAGAACAAGCTTTTTTTGTCAAGTTTACCTTGACTATCAGTCTATCTATCCAAACTTCCTGCTTCTTATTGCATGGCATTTAATGGCGTGTTTGCCTAAAATTTATCTCATCCATCTCAAATTTAATGGTATAATATCAATCAAAGTACCCTTGCTTTTCTATTCTTTGAAATTTCTTCAGTTGACTGTTGAATTCAAATACTTGTCATTTTTGTTAGTAAAATTATTAAAACTGAATATTCTTGAGGTGTTTTGGCTATATCAGGAAGATATTATTATTTAGGCCTAACTAACAATTCTAATATTGTTCCATTATCTGAACAGAGCTAAGGCTCTTTCTTGGGGAAATCTGCAGGAAATCATTTTTTTATTCAGAGGGTAGTACTTTGTTAATACACTTCTCAAACATTTACACTCGAAGGTAAGTATTAGGAAAATATCAGAAATCAGAATGAGCAAATAAATGAACAAGTAACATTTTAGGCAAACACGTCATTAAAATTTGTATTAATCAGAGCTAATTAAGGTCTGATTAGTATTTGCCTCCAAATAGTCTTTATTTAATTTTTGATTTCCTTTTTAACTGGGAGCTATTCAGAAGATTCCTAGAATTTCTGATGTGGGTAGAATTTGTTAGGTTATATATTTGTTGCTGATATCTGCTTTTGGTGTTACATTAATTTTATGAAGGACACTGTGATTTTGATTTTTTGAGTGACAGAGATTATTTTTGCATGTGATTAATTTTAAAGGGTTTCAGTAGTGATTAAAAATATTATATTCCTGCCTTTAACTGCAAAATTACTGACTGAGGGCTGCTAATTACATTGCAAAATGTTTCTTACTTTTTGTCTTGGTCTGTCAATTTCTGCTTCTGAGTTTTGCTCTTAGATTTCAGCACTTTGGGGGGTTTGCCTTAAATTGTTTGGTATCATGTCTTGTTGCACAAGAATTCATGATTGCTTTATTTTTGATCTCGATGGCTTTTACATTTGCCGCTGGGTGCATCCCCCAGTCTCTGTGTTGCTTTTAGTCATTTTTTCCTTACATGTGTTGCACTACAAAGTGTAGTTTCTTCATCCTCATGAATTAAAAAAAATTTTTTTTTTTTTTACTAATTCTCTGAACATTTGAGAAACACGTACGATGTGTTTTGATCATATTCACCTCATATTTTCCCCTAACTCCTCCCAGGTCCACTCTCCCAGCCCCCTACCCCCCCAAGGCCTGTGTACACACACCTGTGGAAGCGTCTACTGGAGTTTTTCACTGACCATAGGCCATACCTATAAAGAAAACAGACCCTCCCTGCCCAGAAGGTGTCCAGTCTTTATAACTCCTCAGCTAGGGGTGGGAGCTAAGGGGCTCTCCCTACTTTATGCTAGACCATTGGCTGGCTTGGGCTTGTCCAGGTCTTACACAGGCAACCACAGCAGCTGTGAGTCCTAGATGCAATGTCCTGTCAATTTCCAAATACAATGTTTCACTCTGGTCCTCCTTAACTTCTGGCTCTTACAATCTTTCTGCTTTCTCTTCCCCAACTGCCTTGATTTAAGAGGCAATAATATAGATACCTAATTTGTATCTCCACGAACTTTAGTCATTTTGCTTTGGGTTTGTCTTCCGTTGTAAACAGTGCAGCCCAGTTAAAAAGCAAAGCAACAGCGGAGAGTCACTGTTTCTTCATATAAGTCTTTAAGCCATCCACATTATTCCGACAGTTTTGGTTCTACACCTGCCACTCACTTTCTGCCTCTTATCCATCGTGTTTATGCTGTCTCTTTTTGTTCCCTGTTTCCACATTACTCTACTGGTTAAACTCACTTGCTTATTTGATCCTATTGGTTTTTTGTTTTTTTTTCTTCTAATCGTTAACTTCAAATACAAATGTTTAAAACTGTGTGCTAATAAGGCACTTCGCTCTGGATACAAAAACAAACACCTGCAGACTTCCTCCAGAACAAAGTGGCCCCTTCCTTAGTGACTTTTCTCTGTTTCTTTCCTTCTTTCCTGGGGCTGATAGCTGGTGGCCTGTCTGGCTTCTCCCAGTCTCTGGATGAACCCTGAAGGGGCTTCCATCTGCGGCTCAGACACTGGTCCTGATTTCTTCAGTATGGTTAAAATCTTGCAACTTCCCTCCGATTTCTCCTCTTCCCGCTAGCTCCTTTCCTCCTCCCTTTTCCTTTCCACATTCATACTCTTCCTGCCCCAAGCCCCTTGTTCCTTCCTCTTAAGTTGCCAATATATTTCATGGCCACATGTTCATTATTTTGACTTACATTATTGGCCCTTTTCCTTGCAGCTTTTTTCCTATCTTGTTTTTATGCTTTTAGTGTTTCTGGAATATCCTCAAATAACTTCTCAGAAAGATGTAATGTGCCCAGCATCTTCTCTTTGCCCCTCCAGAGCCTCCCTCCCCTATCGCCCCTGCCCTAGACTCACATGCTGGTCTGTACAGAGTGCACATCAGGAGCCATTGTACTGCCATTGGACTTTTCCTCACACCCTCCATTATGTAAATGTAGTTATTGCTGGGTATCTGTGAGATATACTGTTGACAGCAAAATCAGCAGATTCCTGTTTTTTATAGATGATGGCACAACATTTGCATATATCCCATGCATATCCTTTAGACTACTTGCTATAGAATGGAAATGCGGTGTGAATAGTTGTTTAGGGAATAATGATAAAGAAAATCTATACATGTTCAGTTCAGATATGATTTAAGTATTTTCAGATATGATTAAGTATTTAAGTATTTACACACGCACACACACAATTTCCATCCCCAGTTAGTTGGATTTGAAATTAGGTGAAGTAGGGAGGCAGATACCAGCTGTGGTACTTTGTAGACTGTTTCACTCCGATTCAAGCATCCTAACTGGCCACCTTGTTGATGGGCTCTTGTGTGCAGGCAACCTCATCTTAATGGCACAGAGCCTGTGTGACCTGTGTCTGTGTCTTTTCAGTCCTTTGTCCCAACATCTATTTTCTTTCTTCGTTTTCACCCCATTGTGATGAATCAAATGTTCAATTCTGAATACATGATGACTCTCAGGTTCACATGTGAGGTACCAACTGTTAACAGAAAAGCTTGTTCAAGCAAGCCATGGGCAGAGACCAGAGGTCCTGCTTCCTTTGGGGGATGCTGTAGGGCTGGAAAAAAATTCGACCTGCTGGTTCTTCAGAGGCAGTGGGAGTGGTGCTTCCCTGGGAATTGAGGGTGTCCAACGTGTTATATCTGGCTGGGCACTGTCAGGATGTCGTTGACTTTCGATATTTAGCACATTGTCTTTTACAATGGTTGTCTTATGTACACATTTAAATATATGCACGTCGTTAGCTGGTTTTGTTGACCTGGAACTGTGTGACCTTGTGCGGCTCTGCCCTAATCCTGTTCCTCCTCCCCAGGGCTTTGGTCGCAAGAAGATTCCCCACGATAAAAGGCAGCAAGTTTCTAGAAATTTCAATCTCTGGGACTGTGACGTCATCCCATCCCATCTTGATGGCCTTTCAAATAACCAAACATCATATGTACCTAAGAAAGCTGTGGTGATCTCAACTTTTCGACGCTTCCCAAAATGTTACCATGAAAAATGGAACAACTTCAATTTTTTTCCTAACCAAAATTATGAAGAGTTTTCGGAAAACCACCCAAATGAAGAGTTTGCTATTGACACAAAGGATGCCTCTCCACAAGAGCCCTAATCCTTCCAGAAGATTCTTGATGAGGTTTGTGACATCATCTCACCAGGCCTTCATAAAGTACATGCCTCGGATCTGACACAACCCCAAAATTGTTGAAAGACATTTTTTTCATAAGGTGATTTTTCATAAGGTTGAAAATATTAAGAACGTTGAGCAGATAAAGTGACAAGAGCTGCCAGGTTCTTGTTGCCTTTTGAGAGTCAATAAGTTGGCTTTTATAATGGTTTTCTTATGTACGCATTTAAATATATGTGTGTCGTTAGCTGGTGTCCTGAAGCTACATGCATGTGTAAATAAACTGCTAAGATTGTCATGTTTACCTCAGGGGGAGTTAAAAAAGTTTGTACTTGATTGAATTTTTGTTTTGAAATTCCAAATAATGCAGAGGTGCCAAAAAGTTCCCTTGATTCTGTTTCATCTCCAACCCTATGGTGTCTAGGAGAAGAATAGCTCCCTACTGTAGGATAATTTCATTTAAATTCCATGTGTGCATGTGTATTTGTGTGTATGAGTGTGTATGTGTGTGTGGTGATTTAAGATTTTACAATAACAAGTTTCCATATGCCATTTTCAAAGGCCTTTAGTGTTAGTTATCTCTCCCCATACTTTGTCCTGTATCCTGTCTTTCTATCCCCCACCCCTCCTAATGCTTCATGCTCCTCCCTCCCACCTCCTTCATAGCACCTGTAATCTACCCCATCTCCCTTGAAATTCCCCCATGTCTCCATAGCATCCACATATGAAAGACAAAATGCCATGTTTGTTTTTCTGGGTCTGGGCTTTGATGGTTTTTAATATTTTTTAAAGTTGCACTTTTAAATTAGCTATGGCTAGGAAGAAGTTAATGATTTCCATGTGCAATTCTTGTGTTTGTTTCCCACAGCCGGACTTGTAATAAAATTAAAAAAAAAAATCAGATTGAGTTCTAGTAATTTTTCATTTGCTTCTCCCTGCATTTTCTATGTAAACAGTGTGCTCCTTTGGGGAAGTAGTGACTTATGTCTTTTCCAGTACTCAGCTTGTGTAGGTCTAAGTATATTTTTAACATTGACAATACCCTAACTTTATTTCTAAGTTTAAATTTCATATTTAACTATGTGAGCGTAATCTCTGATAGTTTCATTTAGCTTTTTTTTTTCTCTAAAGTACTTTTTTGAGTACATGCTTGTTGAATTTTTTTTTCCAAGAAAATAAGAATAAACAGTGACAGTAACAACAACGTTTCCTGAGGTTCTGACTGTCGTCCTTGTTTTTCTCTCCCAGGGCTGACTTTGTTTGTTTCCTTCCTGGGTCTGTGCATCGACTTTCCCACACATCCTTTATCTCTAACAATACCATCGTAGACACCATCCGCTTTTGTTTCTTGTCATTCTCCTATAAAATACACGCACAGTTTGAAGTCATTTCTTAATAGATTTTGCAATTTGCTCTTTGTGTGCGCATGTGTGTATGTATTGGGCAGCATGTGAATTTGTGAGGCCACAGAAGTTCACGCCAGAAGCCTTCCCTGATGGCGCTCCACTTTGTTTGCCAAGACAGTTTCTCTCTCCGGCTTGGATGTATGGGTGCAGTGTTTAATGCTGCCTGATACTAACTTTAATGACTAATGTTTTCTTTCTTCCCTCCTCTCATTGTGTTTTCTCAAGGACAGCACACATATTTTGACTCTTGTTTTATGTTCATAGCTTTTCAGGATCGTTGTAAGCTGTGTGCATGTTCTCACACTAACTGTCTGAGTGCAGGGGTCAGTGGTAAGAGACAGGAGGAATGGTTCTGGTATGGCTACTAGTAACCACACGGAGAAAGAGCTCTTTATTTATCTACCGATACCTTCCTGGGATACTGCTCTGACCCCCAATCCAAGTACCTACTTATCATTTCATGTACCTCAACAATGATTTTGATCCATTTCAGTGCTTAGCAGAGAGAATGATGGGGACCAGGCATGGCAGAGGACCTCCATAAGTAACTCACCACATGTTCTTGGTCCAACATCTCCTCAAATTTACTACATTCATGCCAGAACCCTAGCTCACACATTTGCAGCACACCTGACCTGGGCTCTGTCTACATCTTTGCCTTAGAAAACCGGTCACTCTTGTCATGAAAGTAATGTTAGCTGTGTATCATGAGATTGGAGAGACATTCTCCTTGAACTCAACAGGCTAAGAATAGAAAATGAAGGAACTTTCTTACGTATGGGTCAAGTGTAACTGAATGCTGCACTGGCGTTGGCCACCTCTGGCTACCTACACATTGCCTCCCACTCTGTAGAAAATGCAGGCTAAGGCCCTTTCATGGTCACAAAACAGCACCTTACAAATGGGCTCAAAGAAACGAAAGGACTAGCAGACCCCATCTTAGGTACCATGAGTGGGTATGTGGCAGTTTCTTTGCTGAGAGTATCTTGCAGGTAGACCCCTGGTTCCCAGTTTCAAGAGGGCTGTCTGGCTTGGCTGCTGCTTATTGAATTGAACATGGCAGGGACACCAGAGCTTCCTTTGATGTCCTGCTTCTTGGGCCACTCATCTGACTCAGACACAGTCATGGATGCTTGAAAATCTTGGGCACTATACTCAACTCCCCAGTCTAAGTCTAACACCCACACTCATACCTGTGCACACACATACATGCACATTAGAACCAAATCTGCAATTCTGTGGTGTTTGGTGAGTGGGGGGGGGGAGGGGTGTATTTGACATCTATGGAAACTCTCCTGAAAGCTAGTCTTTCCTCACTGAATTGTCTCCTGTGTAAAACAGCATCATTTAATTACTCACAATCCTGCAGTGAACCAAGACCGAGAGGATCCTGGACTTTAACGGAGGGTGGGACTTAGGGCTCCAAACACAATTCACTTTATGAAAATAAAAATCTTCCAGAAATTGGCACCGCACTAGTGAGTTGCTGTAGCTGGCTTTTGGCTTTAGTAGGTCATTTTGAATGGAGAAATAAACAAGCAGTCTGCCACAGAAATGCCGGCTCACTAATCAATTACATGCAGGTGTTTACAGATTTCTTCCATCTTAATGAATCAGCCTTGGACCTGTGCCACGCTAGAAATCACTTAGGCACTTAAAAAGCAACCGATGGCTCAGGAATCCCATTCTGGAGCAATGCTGGTTCTTGTTCTAGAGCAATCCCAGGAAGCTCTCATCATTTCTGGTGCATGTAGCAGGCATATGTGTGACTAACGAGTCTCATATGTGCAACAATAGGGTCTGGAGATCCTTGGACAGCACAGACAAGGGGACAGAGTGGTGGTTTTCTACATGGAATGCACTCTTAAATGCTTTCCGCTTTTGAACAAAGGCACACAATCTTTTTTTTGGTTCACTTTGACATTTATGATTATGTTGTAAAGATCATTTTTCTGATTTCCTTTTTCGAATGCATGTTTCTGTGGGTGTGGTGTTTGTACATGTTCAAATGGGCATGCATACATGCCATGTGGGTGCATTGCACACACTTGAACTTGCATGTGTCTCTGGGGTGTGTGTGCACATGCTCAGATAGGTCTGTGCACATGTGTGAGCATGCGTGTGGAGGCCACAACCCAGAAGGCCAGAGGTTCCCTTGAGCCTTGAGGTGTTTTTCCTCTATGGATCTCTGCCTTGTGGCTGATTGGCCACTGAGCTCTAGGGACCTGTTGGTTGTCTTTGTCTGACTCCACAGTGTTGCTGTTACAGAAGAACTCTGCCATGCCCAGCTTTTTTTTTTTTTTAACTTTTTAGCTTTCGGGATTTAAACTTAGGTCTTCACGTTTGTGCTCAAGGACATCCCAGCCCCTGATTAGTGATTTCTTATTCAGAGCATCTTGGGGCTTCCTTTGGCCAAAGGCCTTCTTTTGCCGTGTGGTCATGCTTCGTGTCTCCTACTAAGGCTCATAGGATAGTGTTCTAGGGATAATCTTCCCATGCGGATTAACCCCAGTCACAAGTATAAGACATGCAATCACTGCCTCAAGGGTCAGGATGAGTAGACATTCACCCAGTTCAACTCCTCCCTCCACCCCCTCCTACATAATGGGCTCATATTGAGGACTTCTAGGGAGAGAGATGGGTGTTGGGGAGGAATGGTAAGCTAAAAATAGGCCTCCCATATGTTCTGCTGAGTTCAGGGAAGGATCTGCGCTGTTATGGTAACACCCTACGAACATCATATAACAAGCGAGAATAATCAATTTATTCCTTTGGTCTCTCGGAGGCTGCCCATCATCTCTGGTTGGAACCTGGCAGTGGGAGCTGAGGGTTTAGGAAGACCCCTTCCAGCTCTGCTGTGAGCTCTGAGGCTTGCAGGTCCTTCCCGGCTCTGCCTTTCTCTGTTTGAAACAGACCCACACTTGACAAACACACAGGGTAGTCGCTGTGTTCATCCTGGTGCTGGTTGAGGATAGAAAGTGCCGGGTAAGTGTGAAATGCGGAGTAGTGCCTTCACAAGAACCCATCAAAACAAATGAAAACATCTTGTTTAACACCCTGTATTTCAGCAAACATGCTCTCAACATACCAAAATAATCCCCCCAAAATATTAAACAACAAATCAGGCCCTTCCAGAGCCTGACTCACCAAATAAACGGGACTAACTCACAGGCTTCATCACGCCTGTCTGAAAGCGCTGAATCAACTGTGGAGTGCCATTTCTGCCCGGGAACAGGAATCACCTTATCATTCTGTTTCCTAATCAAAGTCAAACAGACCTGCAAGCTCCCAAGTCAGGTAGCACAGTTTCAAAAGTGTGGATCCTGTCATTGTCCCTTCTCCTCCTCAAGCTCAAATAGGTGCCAGTGAAAGAAAGGGTCATGACCTCTGCTCTTTCAAGGCATGGATCTTGCAGCACCAGCATCATCCAGGAGGGACAATCCTACTTTCAAATGGGAAGACAACCCCACTCACCACTCTCATTGAACCCATCTGCTTGCAGGCTCATCCATGATGCCTATGACAGAAACAGCCTTCTCTGGGGGATAACACGGTTATCCCGTGGCTGGGAAAGAAACC